GGGAAGATAAAGGAAGAGTGTTACTCTGTTTCAGGTTCCAGAAAAAATGGCGATGCCCACCTCTCTATGTTGAGTGTTCCCCTTCCCCATTTGAGAGGAAGGAGAACACCTCTCTCCCTCTTTATGAGAGGGATCGAGAGTTCTACTCCCTCTCTGGGGGGATCAATCAAATCCCCCAATACTGTGGGAGAAGAAGGTTTAGTAACCTTCCCCTCCCCTTCCCCCGACAAACTTGGCCCTCTGTGGCCTCCGAGTTCATCAAGGGGGCTAGGATCCTCCAGCGTCGTCCAGTTGATCCACCATATCCTCCATTTTCTACCAGTTGTACCATCATGTCCTTGTGTCTACAATAAACAATTAAACATTATAACTATTATTTCTGAAACAACTTTTGAAAAAAAAAACGAAAAACGAAGAAAACACAGAATTGCGTGGCAAAGACAAAAGGGGTTGAATACAGAGTTGAAGAAAAAAGAAAATAATTTCGTAGTAGCATCAAGATCCGCCACTTGAACTATTTGAGGTTCTTGCCAAACTTCTTCTGAGTTCAAATAGGGGGGAAATAATACGGCGATCAAACAGTACAGACCAACAGAAGAAAGATAGAAAGATGTACAAAGATACAAACCCTATAGAAAATCACTTATCAACTGCTCATCTGGGAACTCTTGTCCCTCATGTATCTTCACAGCTCTTGTGCAGTGGCAAGTCAAGATCAAACAAGATGAACCCATCATTGACGAAACAACCGATAAAGCAAAAAATAAATGTTCACGATACAGCAGATATACCTAAGCGGTGTCTAACGAAGCTTACGGATAAGTTATTTTATTTCCATCAAAATCATAAAGTATGGGCAACCCTCAGAGCCCCTATATCAGGGTGTTGATGTGTGGATGGAATTCGTTCATGAGAGGAATTGTGTTAAGCAGAGGGCTGGAAAGAAAGATTGATCGAAACTGCTTGCTCCGCCTCCTTGACCTTTTCGCGCTTCATTTTAAACTTATTTGGAACAGTTTTATGAGCAAAGATCATACCAAAGAACGGACATAATGAGTCAGCTGATGTAAATGTTATATGAAATTAAAAAATAGAGAAATAGTCACGAGATGATGACCGCAAAACAGCTTCATCTCCCACCACTAAAGTTCATTCGCGGCTTTAAATCAGTCGGAACTAAAAAGGGTTAGGAGGAACAGTATAGTGAAGAACAAATCAAAAACTGAGGCTGAGACAATGATGGGAGATAATCAATACGTTCGTGAGTTACCGACAGGGGGTAATTAAATTCGGTATCGCTCAGCTCGCTCTTATACCATCTTCCGACTATGCATTTACACAGTTGTGAAGTTCGAATTATCATTTAAGAAAACATAATTAGGGAAAAGACTCGAGAGGAAGCAGTTTTCTCAGAAAGAGAACAGAAAGCAGACAACTTACTTCATGAGCGCAAGTAGTAAGGAGTAAATCGATTATTGTATGTAACTCGTATGAAGAAATGATCTATGAAATGGTACTGAGTAGTCTTGAGATCAAACTGTGAGATTGAAGTACAAACTCGAGAACAATCTAATCAATGAGTACTGCTGTGTTGATCGTTTGTGGTGAACGTATTCTACAGATTGAACAGGGTATTGTAAGTCGTTTATTCGATAAAACAAATAATTTACATTTCCCTTTCTGTAAAGCGATCAGATCAGACACATATATGAGAACCCGTGAGACATTCCGAGATAGTCACTTTAACAGATAAGGATCTTGTGAGAACATTCTAGCTTATACAATTTCCTCGTCAACTTTCGCCTGGAATTTGCTTTGTTATAAGAGATTTCCAGTTCAGAAATACCTTTTCATAGCTGCTGAACAACGCAATCTTAGTCTGCTCGTCAGCTAGAGAGCATCCTCTCAATCCGTCTGAGGATATACAAATGTGTTCACATTGGTTCATTCGGAAAGATTCCTGCGAATTCATGATGAGTATGGTGTCATTCGTCATATACTTGCCAAATGGGTGACGTATTTCCTTTCGTTGACATTGATTTTCAAGAATCTTCTATTTCCTGTTCCCAACTGCATGTTAGCTCCAGTACAAAGAATATAGAAGTTGCCTCTCACATCACTGTTCGCACAAACGATTTCCATGATCGTATCGTTAACAGTCATGTCCTAGAAGCATCAGCTTTGTTTTAACATTACAAATGAACAAACCTCATGACTAGCTATGTACAAGGGTTGATTAGGGTTAGTATTCTCTTGTTCCAGTGGCGTTCCGTTGTTGAGCTTCAATTATGCGATTCGAAAACGTTTAATAGAAAATCTCTTACCACATCGCCTAATTTCAATTCGAAAGAGTTTGGTGAAGAGAAGCTCTGGTTTTCATGGATTACCTTCATCACACATTTGTTCATATTATGGCAAGTGACAGAGAATATGCCTCTGCAAAGAAGGGAAGATCAACACTTCGAAAGTTATACTAACCTATTATATTTGGCACGAGATCGTTCACTGGTTGAACTTATGTAATTCACATCAATTTGATGGAGATGCATCGCATTGAATTCAGCTATAGAGCTATCTGAATCTACCACATGAACCCATCTCTTCAATGTTACTTATCATGTTCGTATTATTATTCAAAACCTTACGACTTTCTCAGATTTTCCCAATTTAGATATGATCAGCTTCTTAGAATCTAAAGCGTCACCAATCTTATCGAACAAGCTTGCTAGTGAGCATTTCCGTGAATAGTTTTTCAATCCTTTGTAGCAAGTCTCAGGATGAATGAGGTCAATAGTTTCGTCAGTCACTTCTCGGTCCCAGAAGCAAGAAATCTAAGAATGAATTCACACAGGGTAAGTAGATCAGATCAAACCTTGTCAAACGGAGGTTCGAACAACAGTGGGCTACTGTGCTCTTCATCGACATTGTAATTAGCAGAAGTAGGTTTGTTCGCAACCTGCTTACCCTTAAAACACATTCAGATTATACATGCTTTCTCATATTCAATATACCGCTTTGACATAAATTTTTTGATTTGTATTGTCTAGAGTCTGAAATAATTCAAAGTTATAATGATTGGTTGGTTCAACAGACGTATGTTGCGATATTGGTGTTGTCCGGACCATCCTTCACTCCATTCTTCTCTTCATCCTCAGCCATCTCCTGGAATAAGATATCTTCAAGTTTGGGATTCGCAATAGACTAGTATACTGCAATGATACTTTCTGGATCATACAGGGCTCGCTTGATGTAATCTTTGTACTCCCCATTCTCCAGGAACGTGTCGATCATGTACTATAGAAAAAGTCTGAGAACCAGATTAGATTGTGGAAAGAGAAACCTTCCAAATACGCTCCAAATCGTAGCTCGAATACACATGGTATCCTTTCTTGCCACTGGAACGAGAGACAATCGGGGATAAACTGAGCCAAGCATCAAAATTCCGTATATCTTTTCTGAACATAAGAACGTTCAGATATAGAACAGTGATGAAATTCATTTACACGTTCAGAACTATGGCCGTAGTGAGTTCTCTGATTTTGATAGTTAGTTCTTCTGCTAGTTCACACATGTCGAAAGATACCCTTAAAGAGTGTTTCAAGGTATGAACGTCTGTTCTTACTGTTCTTCACTGTCTTTTGACACTGAGCTTTTCTTGGGTGACAAGTTCTCTCGACAGTTGAAAGGGTAAACATTTACATCATTGTTTCTCTCCGGGAAAAGAATGGAACTTAAAAAACCGTGTTTCATAATGACCTCTGAGCCGTGACTTACTCTATTGAGATCGTCTTTGCCATAGACAACTGTGCTTCAAATTTTTCGAGTTGATGAGCTAAACAACGTACAGCTGCAGTGAGATCACCATTCACAGATTTCTGAAGACCTCTGTAACTCAAGATTTCAAACGATTCAGGAACGTTGAATATACTTAGTGAACGCATAATAATACTCATGAACAGCACGTAGTACTTGGGTCATATGCTTTTCCACAATCATTTCTTCCTGCGGTACTTGAGTATCAGAGATCATGGAAGTGACGAGTGTGTTGAGGAAATTTAGCTTTCCTCCAGATGGATTTATTCTGTTTGCGAAGATCTGTAACACATAATCCATGCTAATTCATTAAATATGTCTCAACACCTGTCTTGCCGTGGTATATTCCTTGAAGGTGCTATCAGAAGTGGCGACAACATAGCGATGTCTGAGAACAGTTCTCAAATATCTGGAAAAGCTCATGATGTTCAAGTTTTTCCGGAAGTATTGCATACGTTAATGCTAATTTCCACATGTTATAAGGCTCTTCGATAGTAAAGTCAGCGGAAAGAATCAAAGCATGTTTCCCAGGACTCTCATTTGAGGGGCTCATGTCAGACTATAAAGGGAACTGTGACAATTCGAGGTTGCATTGATACGACCGCTCAGCAAATTTTCATAAAAAAGAAAATGAAAATTGCTCCCTCATTCATTCTGAGTTGCGCTCTGCACAAGCGGTTGTTTTTTCTTGTTTGAAAATGGAAAACAAGAAAAAAACCTTCCGATTTGGATTAGAAGTTCTGTGGATTCAATTCCACTCAACACCGGAAAACTAACCGTTGGCTTTGGTCCGTAAGCTTCTAAACTAATCACAACTTTGTCGTCGTCAACTGATAATAACACGTCGTGCACGATCATGGGCGTCATTTTGAGAGTAGCTACAGAAAAGAAGATCACTCACATAGGCTTAAACAAAGTCCTACCACACAAATCATGCAAATCTATCACACATATTGGAACAATCCCTCCTGCCAAGACAGTTATCTAGAGAATGACGTTTAGATAATGAAATTTCTGTTAACGCACTGTATGATTGCTGGCGATGGCAAACAAGAAGGTCTGTTGCAAAGAGTCCAGAAAGATATCTTCAAAATGTGATATCTCTTTGAATGTATCCGGTGGCATTTCAATGGATGCCTATCAAACATCAGGGTATTTCAATACAGCTCATTGCGAAGATTATCAAGCTCACCATTGCTTTCTGTTCTTCCTCGCTTCCAAACATCCGCAATCTTCTTTTTATGAAATCACTCTCCTTATTTACACAATGCCATCTCATATTGGTGATTTCAGGATATTCATCTCCCTTCCTGAAATGTAAACAGTTGATTTAAACAGAAAATTGATAATCTTACGGAGGTAATCTACTGGTCCACAGCACAGCTCCAGTGTCCACGTTTATGAGAAAGAAAATTCCATCAGTCATTCCAACTGCTAGCATGTTTCCTTGAGGATTCCAAACCATACTCGCTACATATCTAGTCTCTGTGTTATTTGGATTTCCGGCCAAAGAAATCTAGAAGAGGAAGAGCTTATCACTACAGTATCACGCAAACAGACTTTCCAGCATTTTTTCCATCCAGGCCGTTTAACTACAATATCACCTTTTCTAGATGCTAAGGCGAGAAGTTCAAGAACTGGATTATATTGTACGAGGTGTACCTTAAAAGGCTAACGTGTAAGTGAGATGTGAGCTTATTCACCTTAAATGGAGCTCTGAATAGTTTTCTTCCCCAAATGGCTTCCCGTACTTCAATTAATATCAACGTCATAACCTTTAATGGATTCAAGGGGTGATTTGAACATGACGAGAAAAAATGAAAAGTATGAACGTCTAGTTACATTGAGTACTTCATTCAAACGACTACAAGTCATATTTTTATTAATACTGTAAAAACATGAAAAATGAGAATCATGTAACACATTTATAAATTATAAAATTGAGATGAGAGAATATTGAAAGAACTCATTGAGGTTGAGGTCCAGCAGGCTTTCCATCCGTGAAATCCCGGAAATATTCTTCACGAGCTTCTTGAATTTTGTGGAAACTTCCTCCTTTCATGACCTGTAATGTGTCACACATGAGATAAGGACAAACAATGTAAACATACATGTAGCATGTTCATCATTCTTTGTTTACGATGACGTCGTTTCTGTGATTTTGAATATGTAACTTCTTCACTGCCTTCTGCTCCAGCTTCATCCTCTTCATCATCCATATATTCCCCTTCTTCAGCCTCAAATAGAAAATGTAAGAGTACGTCCAAACATTAATCTAATCACTTCTTCAGTATATTCCACGTGCTCGTCAGCCGTATCAATTTTTTCTTCAACCCTATGACGCTGAAATGGAATTGGATTAACTATCTCATTTCAGATGTAAACCTTAGTGTGTTGATATGCCCAATGTGTGGGTGGTTCTTCCAAATAAGGACTTGGAACAGGAGCAGTTGTATCATATACAGAATTAGATTCCATCACTTGAGCCTTCAAGTAAATAGGTAAACTTGTAGAAATATGACAAAATACAAACCTGCTGTTCAATCTTTCCTATAAACTGCTGCATCATGGGTTCTAAATGCTTCGACTCATCATGTTCTCTTCTTTCTCTCTTTCGTTTAGCTTTCTTCTTCTTTCTTCTAATTGCTTCTTCATCACTTCCAGAATCATTTCTGAAACGAATGAACTACTAGACAAAGAGAGAAGAAGTAACGTACATTCTACGAGTAGCTGCTCGATGCAATGCTTGTATATAGGATGCATTCGAAATAGGATAACCTCTAGCTTCTTCAAATGCTGAAACAAGATAAACACAGTTTCCAATAACCAGCTCATAATTATTACCTGATAAGGCTTCATGAGAAGACCAACCATATTTTTCAATTAAAAACCTACAGACTAAATAGCCACCTCGGTTCACACCATGTGTACAATGAACTCCAATTAAACATTCTAATAGAACAGTTGGATAGTGCAAAGATAAAAATAAACATACCAGCATCTTCAGCATTTTGTAAAAAATCTTCGACTGATTGGAAGAAGTCTTCAACATGATCTTCACTTTCGATGAAACTGAAAAAAGTGATGGCGGTGGTGTGGGAAGTAGAGAAGCACAAGACACATACCCTCGTCCAGGACAATTTATCTTTGTATATTGAATACATAACCCTTCTACATCTTTTTTATCATAATATCTATCTGTATCAGTGAGATCAATTACACAACCAAGGCGTCCACCTAGTTCCGCAACCTATTGAAACCGAGCATGAGTATTGCAATTCAATAAATGATATAAGAAACCTTCCACATTAAATCGGTAACAGTGAATCTTTCCTCTGGCTTGACTTTAGTCAGAAGTCGTTCATTCAATGGCGTTTTGAAAACTAGAAACCGTGTACGAGGAATAACTTTGCCCAGGGGCTCGTACTTTGTCCATCTGAAATAGAATACTTCAAACAGAATATTACACACAGAAACTAATTTATGAATATATGATTGAAAATTGGGAGAAGCAATATTACAAAATGAATTGCTTTTCAAAATAAATGGGAGGAAAAGGTAAATAGTAAAAGTAAAATGTCTCACTCTTTAGGAACAACCCTGCATACTCGAACCATAGCAGACTAAGTTAATAGCTTAAAAGAACCGTCGTATATCGAAATTGTATATCTTTTAAGGAATGACGTGAAAACCCGAAAATCCTCTTGAAAGCTTAAAAGCTGTTTCACGATATAATGCTTTCAATATACAGTTAAGCGCTGAAACGTGCTCCAATGCTAAATGGCTTTAAAGCGTTTGCGCGCCAAGACTAATTATAATAAAAAGTGGATGTTCGATGACCTTATACGGCTTGTGGGAGGATGAACTGAGAGTAGTTCATTTAAGCTGAACGAAGAACGAATTCGAATGTAACCGCACTATGCTCTGGAATATGGTCGATGGACAATCTCCACGAATTAGCATAAGGAGCTGACTCCGGTGTTGATCATGTGTTAAATCGTAGAATAACAATCTATGCATTACAATAAGCTTGAGAACCATTTAAACTTGTTAAATCTGCTTCTTTTTTTCTCAAATTATCATTCTGCCAGCCTGTGACATATATATATATATATTTGCAAAACTTCTGATGTTTCCGTTTTGGACAAGACGAACGATGTTGTTTGTTAGCAAGCAAATGCATGTATACGTTCACAGCAAAGACTGGAGATAGGTTAACTTCCCATACTATGTCCATTGAGATTTATGGCAATTGTTCTCACGAGCGTGTGCTGCATGTTCGGTGCTGAAACATACAACACGAACGAACACCTGCGCTTAGAACTTCAGTAGTTTCACATCATCAGAACTGTCTTTATTAAATATGCCTAATGTACAACAACTTTGAACGAGAATATATATACAGATGAGCACGTTTTTCAATCTTTAGTCTGCTTTCTTTCTGTAACGATTGGTCATCTGAAGAAGTTTGTTCATCGCCAGAAGAAGAAGCTGATTAAGAATCGCAATGATTCATTTGCTTAGCCGGAGAAATTAAAAAATTTCACTCAAATTTCTTCCTGAAAACAATGAAATACGAATATCTTAGTCTTGAGCCAATCAGCCTAGCCTTCACCAAAAAAAGATTTAACCAAATTCAAACTTTGGGCTTCAGTGTGACGTATATGTGTCTATGAGTGACGCTTCATTGTAAAACATCGTCATAAACTTGAAATGGATGATTGAGAAAAAGAAAGCCTAGCTAATGATAACATTGAAATCTCTACTTCATCACCTACTCACTCACTTCACTTTCCAACCTGGCTGTAAACAACGTAAACAATCAGTCTGCTAAACAGCGAAAGATACGGATATTCCCCAAATTTCCAAATTACCTGAGTTTTGCGTCTAGTTTATAGTGTTCAAACACGCAGACACACACACACACACATAACGAGATGAAATAACTTTTGGTCATAAGGATTAGAGAGCTGCGTTCTGCCCCCAAAGCGAAACTACAAACTTCAAAAAAATTTTTTTCTCAATGAGTGAGCAACCCACCTGTCTAGCCCCCCTCTGAGTTTTCATTCAAAAATTCAAATGAATTATTTCTTAGGTAAGAAACAGATTGGAAAAAAGGGAGAACTGTAAATATTTTGGTCAAAGCTTTATGTATTTTTTCAAAAGCTGAACGGAAGTCAATTTTTTCCAGCTGTTCCTTGATGATCAATCCATCATATTTGAGAATTCCACAGTCATAGTCATCAGAATTCAACTTCAAAACAAACATGTCTCTGTGTTGCTCCGAGAGTAGAAACATTTCTTTTTGTCATAAAAGAGAAATCGTAGTAATGGTGTTGTCTGGAAGTGACTGACAGAGAGAGAGAGAGAGAGAGGGTGACGAGGGAGGGTTGCAGCAAAGAACTGGACGGTACTCTTTCATGAAAACATTGCATTTCTTAGAAAAAACATAAGTTTTTCTAATCCCTGTATCCCACACGTGGGCATTCCAAATGTAAATATATCCATTTGAGAGAGAAAAGGAGTGAAAATCGGGTGGGATGATAGAGAGAGAGAAAGGAAGCATGAAAGGTTGGAAGAGAAGGTTAGTCCCATCGAAATAGAAATAAAGGACAATCAGTTCTTGGATGATGCAGGCGAGTCGAGAGGAGGCTTTACCTATCTTACGTCTTCCCAGTTGTACATCAGTTTTGTTTTCCAAGATTCCCCCCCCCCCCCCCCCCTCCTTCTCCATCTTTGTTTCTCGTTCTCTTTGGAACGAAATATTCTTATCAAATATTATTTTGAGCCAAATTAAGACGATCTGCCATATATTGGAATTCGAAGATTAATGTTCGCTTCTCTTGTCTCGTGTTGAAATAAACATTTTCGTAAACCATGCACATCTTCTGGAGACATTTCCTTTTTTAGAAACATAGGCTAAGAGGATCTTCGTGAAAACTGTTTCGTTCATTCGCATCACAGTTCTCCATCATTTGAGAAACTGTGCATTATCAGCTTTGCTATATATTATTTTAAAGTCAATTTGTATGAGAAGAGGGATGGAGGCAACAAATCGTTTCGGAGGCGGAGCAAACTTATTGCTCCACTTTATTCTCATTGTGCTCTACTAGTTAGTCTAGCTTCCTTACATTCTCTTATAGTTGCCATATCTATGTATTAGAGGTGAGCGATAGACGATTAGTACGAAAAGCTGATACGCTCATCAGTCATAACGATTTCGTTTGAGCACGAATTAGCTGGCTTTTCGTACTTCTCTGTCTGAATATGAGAATCATTCAATTCTTCCACATTATTCATAATTAGTTTGTAATTATTAGATTCTATTCTTCCACCTCAATTAACTTCTTTCAACTCTTTGGGATCAAGCAGATTGACTGATTAGCTGATATTCATATGTGTGTACATCATCATCATCATCATCATCATCTCCATCTTACGTATCACCCTCAACGTATTCAGAAAGAGAAAGAGGGAGAGAGAGTCATATGAAAGAAAAGATTAATTACGCCTAGACAAGCTTCTCTTTTCTCAAAAAATGTGGTCAGCCAACGTTGTTGATGATATTCTCTCATCCATGACATTTAACTAAGAGAGAGAAAGAGAATATTAATCCTAAAAATAATTTTATAATAACTTTTCGTCCTTTGCCTACGTATCTTCGTTTCTCAAACTAAAAATGTGTTCATCTAAGCTAAAATTAAAATTTTGCTTGCAAAACTCTTCCATTGACTTCCTTCATAATCCGGCTCGTGAACAATCTGCCTCTCTCAAGTACTTTCAGTTAATCAAAGTCAAAATTTTGAAGCTTATCGTGATTGAAATGAAAATCAGCTTTCTTCTTCTTATTGTTCCGGCCAATTTCAAAAATTGAACAATGTAATGTCTTCCAATCAAATTATAGGCTAGCCTCTTAGATTAGTTCATCCAAACATAAAGCTTGAAACAATCATTTCAAAACAGTACCATCACATGCTTAGACCAATCTTATAGTCGCTTCGATGACAACTTGTTCTCTACTCATTTACAACATCGCCTTCATGCTCGTTATCGTCAACCTTCCATAATGAAGTGTTGAATAGGATGTAATAAAATGAAAATTTTGCAGATATGACAAACTTATCGTTAAGCATCAGCATCCTTTTCCTGTGCGTATGCGTGTTCGCAGCTGCAAACCCCCTCGATCGCGTAAGTTCCCTGTCAACACCTATTCCGCTTCTATGATGTAACTAACAGCAACAAAAAAATTATTAATTTGTTCAAAATTACTTCATTTCCGAGTCTCGTCCCATTACGTATAGGATACAAAGGCTCACGAATTATATCAGCTTAAAACCTTTCGCATTAAATTATTTTATAATGCAATGACATCGAAGAATAGAAAAACAATCATCACTTTACGCTACAAATTCAAATTAAGCGAAAACCAATCGAAAGTTTCGGGGATAAAAATTGCTTTTGCTTTTCCAATAAGCCAGCTTAAATTCCTTTTGATTCTTTAAGATGATTTAAGCAGTCACGTAGGTCATGTGGCTGTCGTAACCTCATTAGAATACACTGCTGCTAATACGTGGCAAACAAATTATGAAAGTTTTTCATTTGCAAGCGTTCATTCGTAAAGACAGGCTGTGCATTCTCATACTTAGCTCTTAATACCTCTTATTCACCTTTTCTGTTTAAGGATACACGTGCGATAGGTCTTCATCGGCCTTATGTTCATTTCCTTCAAAGCCTTCTTCCACAATCAGCATCATTCTGGATGTGCCGAGGCTTAGTTGAACCGGCAACCTTATCGTTCGATGTGATACCTCAAGACGTCATTACTGATGAAGGGACGGAACTGTTCATGCCTTGTCATATCTTCTCTTCACCACAAGTATGCTTCGTTATCGTGGAATTCAAAATACATTATGATTGTTGCAGGGTATGGTTCAATGGTATCACGATGATCAGCTCATTTCGGAAGATCGAGCAGCAACTGGTGAACTCATAGGTAACCAACGAGTAATTGGATCAGGACTAATAGCTTCCCGTTCGTACTATTTTCGTTCCCATTGAACTTTAATTATTATTAATCATCATTAAGTTCTATTTTGTAGAGCTCCGAATTCCTTGCGTTGATGAGCGAACAGCAGGAAACTATCGATGTGAAGCACGAACTCCATGCGGACAGAAGATTAGCACTTCTGCTCGTGTTTCCGTTCGAAAGAGCAAATCAGGTACTTTCACTTATGGAAAACAATTGAAAAGCATCGATAATAACGTGACTTCACCTAATAAAACCGTACTTTGATGTGCCGCTATGAGAGAGTATTTTCCAGGGCAAACTTGTGGCAATAAAAAATCTGACAACTTCGCTCCATACATCAAATTCGCCACACAAAGTCGCATTGAACTAGCTGGCATGTTATCCCATTAAATCCATGTATCTCATGTTCTCCCAATTTAAGGAAATGTCGTTGAACTAACTTGTAAAGCTGGTGGTCATCCAGCTCCCACAATCATATGGACGAAGTATACGAACGACGATGAGGAGGTGCCAGTCCGAACTTTCCGAAGAGAAGGGGTTATTTTTGAATTATATCTAAGAATTAATAAACCATATTTTGTAGGAGAAGCAAGAAATACTTGTTGTTCGATCAGAATTTGAATCGGCTTCAGAATCCTTCAAATGCACTGCTAGGAATGAGTTCGGTGAAGCTACAGCAGAGCCCACAATCATTTATGTCAGTGATGAAGAAGAGTCCTGAAGCATTGAAGCGACAGATATGACAGAGTTTAGTATCTCCTAAGCTTAATAGTGCAAACAGAAGTGTTTCAATCGTTTCATAAAACGAAAAAGTTTCATTTATTTTCAACAATATCTTTGACATGACTTTTAATCACTGAAACTGATGTAACTTTCTTCAATGTTCCTCATTTTATAGTAAAACGTTCTCTTCTAATTATTTCCATATGACCATTCAGGCGCTTCCAAACATGTATCGTCTGTCGGTGTTTTCTCAGTATCTTAAAAACAGTTTGAATGAACCGAATAATAAGAGTACGTACATTTCTCTACTTCATCCAATGTTTTGGCTGACGGAATATAATCCAAGATGCTTTTCTTTGACTTACGCACGAATGGGTGTTGCAGCAAAAAGGCAGCGTTTGGACGACTATACTGATTGGCTTTTAAACTTTGCTCGGTGATATCATGGAAGGCTTCTGAGAATTCTCGAGTTCCTTGTGTCGATTTATCTAAACGTCAAAAATCAAGTCTAAAACAAATATGGTCATATACCGAGATCGGGCAACGTTTTAGAATCCAATAACTTCGGAACTGTTCCTCTTCCCTTAAAATTGCGGATAAACAAGATGTGGGGAAAAGAAAATACTTTTTCATAGAGCATCTGCAAAGGCTCCATATCAGAGAAAGGTGGAAAACCATTGGCAAGCTCACACAAAGTTATTCCTATGCTGTATATATCTGATTTGACCCCATATCCGTTCAAATCCTGCAAAAGGCAAATGATTGGAATTTCCAGTCTGTTCTCACCTGTGCTAATACTTCAGGGGCCAACCAAAGCAGAGATCCCTCTAAGCTCTTATCAAATTCTGTTAGTTTCCTCCTTGTATTCTGCAAATACAGTACTTGATTGACTATCCACTACAAGTATAATCTACTTTAGGAAGATGAGATGAGCAGCGGAACCCAGTTAGTCGTACGTTACCAGTAGACTCAATTAGAAGATGCGAGGCACGTATAGATCTGAGACACAGAAACGGTTTCACAACTGTTTGGCTTATGTATCTAACCTATGTACAATATCTTGATTGTGTAAGTATGAAACAGCTTTCAATAGTTGAGATAAGAGTATCGCAATAGCTTTCTCCGGAATTCCGGAAGGGTAAGCGCTTAATATGATATCCAGAGCAGATCCTATAATGAGAAATGTTTCCTGAAAACGCAAATTATCTAAGCTGACCATAACTACATGTGGGACTAGCGATCAGAAGATCATTTCTATATACAAACGAGGCATGGAATTCCAGGATATGCTGGTGCCGCAGAGATTTGAGCATTTTCACCTCCTCCTATAGAAATGAATATGATGAAGAGGAGATAACGGAAGTGAGTGTTATTCTGGAAACAAACGAACCATGACATGCGAGGGGTCGATTAGACAATCAATTAAAATTCTTTTGATGGTAATACGAGAAGAATCATTACATCTGGCAAGGAAAACATCTCCGAGTCCGTTAAAACAATGGCCTGCAAAGATGAAAAATTCCATGAGAATCTTGGTTCAGCATGTAACGCACCAATCCATCTTTGGACTGTATAACCACAAGGGTAGAGATCACATGTGGGGTTACTCATTAATCTTTAAAAACATGTTTGAATCAAATTAGACTCGAGTGAAAGCCTCAAATAGCAGCAGAATTGACTGATAGTATTGAAAAATTGAAATTTTGGATTAAACATATATTCAAGCAAAAACAAACATGACCAACTACAACTTGAAATCCCATTACCCAAACCGGTGAATCTACATAAAAGCTATAGTGATAAAGCCCATTAATGACTTTAAACAGAAAATAAAGTATGAAATTACTCAGAGTATGGCATACACATCAGGTGAACAATCGATTCTAAAACCACGGACTTCTCACTTACGATGGAAGTGACTCCTTATATGTATGTAAAAAGAGAAATTGGCCCCAAAAAAAGGATGAGAAACGTATAAATAGAAGATCTACTCAATTCCTATTAATATTTACATATCATAATATTACGCTTTGATACAAAGCTGTTATTAATAGGAGACAACCGAATGTACCCTTTTCAGATCTGTTCAAAAAAGAACCAAGTAACTTTCAGTATTGAAAACAAACAAACATAACAGGAAGATATGATGACAGGGTTACTCCGCAGGTCTACATGCTTCTATTCGTTCCAATTCACGGTCAACCTTCAACTTCTTCATTTTGAACATTCATGCTATCATATATACCTGGCGTAACTCGCGCAATAAACAGCTGGCTTGTGTTCGAGGATCCAACAAATCCATTTCTCGTTCAGCAATCTGTAGTTCGACACGTAACTGTTGGCTGACCGCCGATGACATGGCAGCACCTAGAACGATATTCCTTGGTTTTTCGAAAAGAATTAATATACTTACTGTCGACTTCATTCAGCCTTTCCTTTACGTCCACAATTTTATCCAAACTGTTGGAAACTACTCCTTGCGCATCCAGAAGAGTTGGAGGAGGTGCTGGTTGCATAACAGCCACATGGTCTCCCCCTATTGTAGGGATGAAAGCAACAGTAGACACTGAAAAAGCTAAAATAGCTTGTGTAAACAAGTGCACTTCTCGTCTTATTTCTTAGTCGGAAATCCACCAGTTACTTGGGATTTGCCCTAACCTTGTGTTGGTTGAATACCTGCTGTTGGGAGTGGTTGACATATGGTATCGCATATCTGCATGGCACCGCAATCAGCTTGCACTGTAGCAACACTTGTTCCATCAGGAGAGACCAAAGTTTCCGGACATGAGATCGGCACAGACTGTGAGAAAAAACAATAATGCAAAGCTCAGAAATAAACACATACTGATATGAATGGGACACTGGAAGCTCTGTTTCTAGCGAGCCCAGCGACCATATCTGGTGTGCCCATCATACTGAAACAGCATCTGTTTAAAAGTGGGAGATAAAAAAACAAAACAGATGATAGATACAACAAACATACATGCTTTCTTCGTTTGGATTAGGAGACATAACAGCAGTCGGCAGAGGAGGCAGCTCAATTGGTGGTCGACCAATGACAACCAATGGATGGGGATGTAATTCCATTCTAAAAAAAATATTTTTGGAATGAGCTCAAAACACACAAACAAACCTCTCGTCCAAAACAGATGAAGCTACTGTGTATGAAACGTGGCCAATGCTATCATCTCCATCTTCATCATCAGTGAGAGTGAATGGAGCTAAGCGACTAGGAAAAAAAATGGTTTCGATATTAAAAAAAAAGCTATCAAACCTCAGAATCTCCTTTCTCTTCATCACCAGCTGATCAGCATCAGGCTCAGCTCGCAGATCCATTTTCGACAAACTATCACGTGCATTCTCCAATTGGTAACCAGGGTTTCTGAAACGCGATGATAAGAAGCGTTTGCGTTTTGTGCACTCACTGTGCTGGAAGCCAAAAAGTGGGATGTTGCGGAGAGGTAGGATGTATGAAAAGAGTTTGTTGAGAACTTTGCCAAATTTTGGGAGGCATCATGACGTTTCCTGGAGGTGGATGAGTCATCTGAATTGGCTTAATTTGGAAGACGAAAACAGTTTATTTCTTACCAAGACCATTGCTGGAGGCTGCATTTGTACAGCATGAGGACCATTCGGAGCCGGAACTACAGGTACTATTGGCATCATAGGAACAACTTCTTGTGGTGGTGTAGGGATGACTGATTTAGTAAAAAGATATATTAATAACAAAAACTGAAACTTACAATGAGCAGGCAAAGGGGCCATAGGATTAGGAGCAGTACGGATAATCTGAACTCTTTGCATTCCAACATTAGGAGGAACCGCCGTAACTTTACCCGGATGTGGTGCCCTCGTATAATTCTGTAAAAAAAGGTTGTGGTAAAACGTATGCTTTTCCTGATACTTGTTCGCCTGGAAGCTTGCTGCCATTTGAACCAGAGTCAATAGTCTGGCTTACTAGTGGAGGCACATGATGAGATGGAATCTGTGAGATTGCCACTGGAGGAGGCATATCAGCGAAGCTTGAGTGAATTTCTCCGGCGGAGTGTGCATAGGTACATCGGTTACCGCGAGGGCAAGGTTGTCCTCTGGCCACATCTCTTGAAATTTATGATAAGAAGGTTTGGGAAGAAACAATCATACCGGCACATTTTTGTTTTGTAACGTGTAGTCACATAGGCAGCGGCCTTTTCTTCTTTCTTGGGTGTTCTCCATGCTTTTTGTTTCTGCTTTAGCTCATGTTTTCGTTTGATATAACTGACATGCAGCTCCAAAGCACAGGCCAGAGCAAACACTGCTTCAGAGAACTGAGCCCAAGGAACATGCTCTGTAAGAAATGGAAGAGATGAGAGGTGGGTAAAAAATTAATATACCTATGTAGAAAGGATTAACATCGCGAAAGACGGATAAATATTTTAGCATTTCAATCAACAAGGGATCTCCGTGACTGGCGTAGTTCTCAATCTCTTCGAGACAAAGTTGATCATTAGAAGGTAAATGCAGTTTGTCTGCAATAATCAAAATAGAATTTCAAAGTGCAAAACGAACTTGCCTATTATGGATTGCATATGAGAACGATGCTGAAAATCTCCATAGAGCAGGGAAGACCATTGATCAGGGGATATTCTGAGACCTGCTTCGATGGCCATCTGAAGATTCAACATAAATGAAAGCTAGAATGTGAGAACGTTACCTGAACAATCTGAGTATCGTGCTCTTTTCGTAGTGCTTCATAACTTCTGAATTCATCTTTCAGCTGCATTAATGAAGACTCTCCATCTCTTTTGATGACATGGAAACATGAAGCTCTATATAGCAGTTGAACAACATGTCCTACACATGTCTTGGAAACCTTAACATTCATTTTCATCATGTTTATTCTGAAATTTTGTTTTACTTGAGGATAGTCTTCAGTCATTTGCTGCACGACATATATCACAAGAGTTTTCCTTGCGATTTGTGCACCATTTCCTAGAGCGAGCAGAATGAGCTTCAGTACATCTTCTTGCATGGCTATAAATAATATTATGAGAAGCTCATCAAGCTATTTGTAGCTTACCAGGTCCTAGAAATTGGCAACCTCGTGCTCGCACTTCAGACCACAGTTGGGTACTTGGATTGGAAGCAGAGTTTATGGCTATTATCTGTAAAGCCATGTAGGACAACGCTGCTCAGAGCTTTCTCACCTCCGCAACGATACGATCGACCAAAGCTCTACAGGTTTTTAATGCTCTTGATCTACCTTCATCTTCAACCAATTGGAAACAAATCAAGTTTACGAGCTTCCTTTGCATCGTACGCGATAAAAGCTAAAAACAAATTTTTCAAACCAAATCTTATAGAAAGCAATGGAAGAATCACCTCACTGAACACACTTCCTCCTCTCTCCGATTCAGCCTTTTTCAAGAAAGAAGAAAGCCTTAGCATATCCTTTTCAACGCTAGACAACGTTTTCTGCAATCAGTAATTTCATGATAGTTGGATAGAATTCAGAACAACCTTTAATTCATTATTTGCCAAATGCCAATGAGGTAGTTCTTCTTCAAAATCTTTTACACAGATAGAGAGTAGGGGAACATTGACAGGATACTCTTCAAATGGATGAGTGCCACTAGTCTGAAAAACAAGATTCAGATTTGATTAGGAGCATTTCCTTACTTCATCAATAGGACAAGTTCTCGATAGAGAAGGAACACAAGATTTACAGATAACATGACCACATGCGAGATTTACAGGTAAATCTTCCGAAGAAAATCTCTGGAAAAGAATATGTCAGACTCTTCCATTTGCAGATAACAAACTTTGTCACACTTGATACAGCACAGAACGTGTGACCAAGCTTGACCCTGTCCGGCAGGAGCCATTTCAAGTATTGAAACGTATACACGGTATACAAATTTCGGATTTCCAGAATGATGAAATTAAATTTCGCAGGCTGCTCACATGGATTTAAAAACTAAAAAGAAAAGAAGTGAGTTTGACAGAATAAACAGAAGATCGAGATAATTGACGGCCGACTGAACGGTTTGAGTGAATGTTTGAAAACATGAGAAATCATTTCTCAAGAAAACCATAACAATAACAAAAATTATTAACAGAACAACGTATCACAATGTAATGGGACTATAATTTGTGTAACAAGCAAACTCATTGGCTAAGTTTTTCTCATGCTGTGGATTGAAACTTGTTCTCTTCGCACCCATCAACTTTAAAGCCTGAAAAGGAACTCGGTTATCAAAGTGTAAAGAAAGGAACTCGGTTATCAAAATGTAAGAAAAGGAACGCTGGCCTCAACATACACAACCGATTCTCAATTCATAATTCTCAAAAATGAAACTGTGAACGGTCACTGAATACACGTTCCCACCTGCTCTTCCATAATGGATCCAGTACATAATATAATTTTAGTGTCCGGTCGTGATAGGAGTCGGACAGTTTGGGCAGTTTTCACTAAACATTCATCGGACAGGAACGGAGGATCAACGACCACAACATCGAAATACTCTAAAGGGAAACACGATTGTTTATATATTTATATATTCTTTTTCTAACCTTTGAGTTCAGGCGGGAATGTTGCTGGTTGTTTGTAATCATAGAAGACAAATTCATCGGGATACTTCAGTCGGAAGCGATCATCGAATTCAAAAACCTTCAACTGTATTTTCCCATCGATTACTTCCTAAGAGGGAAAGTTTGAGAAGCTAAGACAGGATAATACTTGCCTGTTCCTCTTGGAAATACTTCATCAGCGTGGGAGAGCTTACACAAGCTACTTTCCCGCTACCATTACAGGCGGAGATAGCTTCACGACACAACTTCTTAGCCGTTTCGGCATTGTACCAAAACTGTGATAACTGAAAGAGCCGATGACTCGAGTGTGCTCATCACCATACCTGCCAATCTTCTTGAACATCAGCGGATGCATTTTCAGCTACGTCTCTCTCTTGTTGTTCTTTTCTACAACGACGTGATTTAACTTCTTAGTAAAGGAAGCTACCAACAGAAATTGTTGTAACACTGCTAATGTACTAGCTGGGAGTTGATAATCCTCAGTGTCACTCATGATGCTGAAGCAGAATATCTATGAAGATCATTTAGCTGGAGAATCGATATGGACCGACAGAACGATAACGTATATCAAGATTAGAATGATCAAAACGAATTATTTATTATATTTAGAGCATTTAAATTAATTAGTGATGATCTAAAATCGGTCGGGGAACGGGGTGGACAGAGCGATAAGCGCTCTGGAATTGAAAAAAAACGGAATTTCGAAGTTGGTTTGAACAAAAAGAACAGCATTTGTCACAACCCATACAACAGCTTTCAACAACACGAAACTTCCCAAGATACTACAGATTTAAACAATGCGTTTATTCATAATGCGTGAGATGACTGAAACGGTGAATCCTAGCACCATGCAAAATTGAAAAAGTGGATGGGGATGAGGCCAAAAAACGGGAGAGAAACTTTAGCATGTGCTTTACTTCTTATGAGCAGTCAACTTGTTCTCAACTGCATATGGTTTGGAGAGAATCTTTTTCACTTGTACCATTGCTCCTCTTGCTTGATCAGTATCCTTCAAAAACATTTCGATGAGTACTTTAAGTAACCACAAACCTCAGTGACTTGTACGCTCTCTGGCGTATATGGAGCTTTGACAGTTACACGCCCAAGAACAATGATATCAGGTCCCTAAGCAAAAGTTGTGAGAAGAAGAGCAATAATTAATCACCTGCCAGCGTACTTCATTAAGAAGTTTACGCAATTGAAGGAAAGCCTTTTGTCCTTCAAGACTGACACGCTCATCCATGATTTCTACGCGCCTAATCGACTCAGATAGAGCACATCGATCAGTAGCCTATAGGGAGATGATGAGCAACTTTATAGCTTAGGCAAACTACCTGCTGAGTTGTTAAAGAGCAGCTAGATAGATAATTCTCCACCGACTCACTTTTGGTGTTGCTCACGGTAACTATCTGAAAATGAGAAACCAAGCCTTAAAGCGGAAGCCGTATTATAACTCACGTTGTTGATCATAGACATATTGAACATTCGTAGTGTTGGTTTACCCTCGGTCGAATTATCTTTTATAATAAGTACCTATAGACTCGACAATTATTCAAAGGGAAAAGTAAGTGCAAACCAACCTTCAGGGTGGGATCGAAACACACCACATCTCCTTGTACATTTCCTCCTAAGACGGTGTTGAACTTCACTGAAGATCCCGGAGGAAATGCACCTTCACAAGCAAGAGAAACCATAGTGAATGGCACTAAACATGAATACGTCATGAGAATATTTACGAAACAAAGAAGAAGACAAGAGAACACGGCACAATTCAAAGTAAACAATAATTTAAAATATAATGTCGTTCGAATAACTTGTGCGGTTTTGTCTCAATTTCTAATTCCGTAATGTACGTATCTCCAGCTAAATAGTAATAATGCGTCATGCACGTACGAAAGGATAACCGTAACACATTATAGAGAATAGACTCCCTCCCTCGTCTAATTTGTAAATATCAACCAACTTATGAAAACGAACATTTTATATAGTGCAATGTAAAGATTCCACAAGTATGACCTTCAGCAACAACCAAAAAAGTAATCTCGACAAGCGTTTCATATATAGCAGTTTAGCATTGGGACATGAATTCGCGAAAGAGCACGCTTTCCTATTTCAAATAATTTTCGAAACGTGCCTCTTCCGCCAACGAATTATATAAAATACTCCTGTCACTAATCTGTATGTCTACAAAAACTATGGGCGTTATAACCAAGATAAATCGAACATGACATTATTTAAACATTTTATTCGGATATTCCGGATAATAACAGTAACAATTTAGGCGATAGATCCAGCATTGGCAGCAATTCTGGGCCATAAATCGGCGCACTCCTTAGCGACTGGTCCGGTGATGGCAGATCCCTTCATTTCTCCCTTGTTGTTAACAATAACTCCTGCGTTATCTTCGAAGTAGATGAAAGTACCGTCTTTTCTTCTGAAAGTCTTGCGCTGACGGATAACGACAGCTTGAAGAACTGAAAATAAATCAATGAGTACAGAAAACATTAGAAAACCTTGAATGTGCACACAATAGCTGAACTCTTACACTAGAAGTCAAAAGAAAATTAATAATTCGCATTTATGACTCTTGCAAGAGCTTTCCGCTCCATACAAGAACGACACAACAAAAACTATCAAAAGTAACTTTCACGCGCAGTTCAACTTCTAATAACAGCAAATATCAATAAGCTTAACACTTACCCTTCTTTCTGAGCTCAGGCTTTCCCTTCTTGACAGAGCAGACGAACATGTCACCGACTCCAGCGGAGGGTAATCTGTTCAATCTTCCTCTGATTCCATAAACGGAGATGACGAAAAGATTCTTGGCTCCGGTGTTGTCGGCACAGTTCATAACGGCTCCGACGGGGAGACCGAGGGAGATACGGAATTTAGCTCCAGAGCAACCTCCACGTCCTCTCTTGGACATCTTACCTAAAAAAGAAACGTTCAAAACAGAATCCCAACATTACGAGTTGTATAACTTAATAGAACACGTTGTCATTCAAAAAAATTCTCTTCAATCTTACATAAATATTACATGCTAAAAAGCAAAACTTTTAAAAAAACTTTAGGTAATTATAGAATATAAAATATTTCCATGCAGCATTTTCAGCTCCACCAGCAGAATCGAATACTCAGTCTTCCAGCAGCGAAAATAAACTATCGCGGCAGGACCATTATCGACCGCAGAGAGACAGATTAGCTGTTTGACGGTGGAATAGCAACAGAATACGTTCTTCTGTACGTAGAGTTCATAGACCTTTGGAAATATCAAAGAAGAAATATTTTAAATTGAATTTATTTATACAATTTTGTACAGAATACAAGTTCGAACAACGATATCAATGTCTCATGTATGAAAGAAGGATTGGTGTTAGAGATTTGGTGTTTCTAACTCGTTTTAATCATTTTAACGGAATCGTATTATGAATACACAGATAGAGAAGAATAATGATATTTTATAATGATAAGAAGAAGAAGGTGTTACATGGGGCCTCACATTGAGTTTCTTTGTGCGAAATATGGTGACTAACATCTTAGTTCAGTAGGGTTATGGGTTGGCGGAAGGTTTCAAATAGTCATTCGATAAAAATAGTTAGAGATATATATTCCATGTACGCAATTCGGGACTTTTGCGAGCGAAGTTTTTCGCAGATGGTTTGATTCTTCATGAGTCGACAGAGCTAAACACGAAAATTGAGTGCATGATTGTGAGAATAGGAAGAGTAGTGAACAGCTGACACTAAACAACGCGGAAGGATGGACGACAAGAGCATAGAGACTACGGATGTGTTGAGTTTTACTTTTACTCGCGAAATATTAAAGATTTTGTTAAATTTCGATGTTTTTTGGTGCGCAGAGACCAATCATTTTTCGAAGATCTCTCTTAAATAAACATGGGATACCGCACTGCTCCCACTTCGAAATCCGGTTGGCTTCTGCTCAACTTCTGTTGCTTCGATTCATCCTATAAGTTTTAGATTCAAATGACAGCAGATGATATGGAGTCATTGACTCCTTTGGTGAGGAGTATCAAACGATGTGGAAGTGCGTTGTCTACCACTTCCAACTCGTCTCTCCTTCAGGACCTACGCAATCGAATCTCTCAGGTAGTTCCCTACAGTTGGAGATTATTGATTTTTCTACAAAACAGGATAAGCTTTGCAAGAAGTTCAATGTGGAAGACGTCGCGCGGATAACACAAGAGGATTGGTGGCTTCTCATCTTTCTCACAAGTTGCCATTACGATCCTGA